CAAATGAGAGCACACAGCACAAGGCTGGGCTGCGACCAGCTGATCGCTTTCTGAAGCCTTTCTAGAAGAAATGTGCCTATCACTTTCCAAAAGGATTGTGCCACACCATCATACCTTTGCAAATGCTTCCAAGATATTCATTTTCTGCTTTTGGTTTTACCTAAACATTTTATTCAACTGCTATAAACCAATCCTAAATTGCTATTCAAAAACAGACTCTAAAACCTTAGGGCAATCGTTTAAATCAGAAATGTCACTACAACATTTCATTCTATAAGATAATTTTAAGTCATCAAACCACAGCTAGTAGATATATAATTTAACTGAATTTACACAATTAACACATACTGTTTGCATGCAATAAAACAAAGTTCAGAATCCTCTTGTCCATAACCGAACACAGTGTCTCTGCCAGCCCCACAGATCCTATGGGCCCAACAGGTGACTGTGGAGCATAGAGAACAGACAAGATCTATACAGAGCAAGCAGTATCTCAATTTTCATTGAAGCATCTGCTGTAGTATCTTAGATTAAAGCTGTAACTCCATTTATTTAAAAGAAAAATATCATAAGTTCCCCCAATTGTGCTGAAGCCTGGTCTTACTGGAGATCATACAAACCACGTGTTGTATTATAAGAAAGAAAGTCACATTAATCCAACACTGATGTTAATTGGAAATTTATAATATGGAAATAAAAGTGCACATGGTGCAGGAACAGCCTGTGTCTACATGCTTTCAATGCTCAGTATTATACAATTTCACAACAATATATTCATATAAAAGCATTGCAACTAATTATTATCACTACAGAAAAATCAAGTTCTTCCCAGATCTCAAAATGGAGCAAAAAAAAAAAAAAAATCAAGCAGCAAATAGAAAAAACACCCTATCTTCCCCAGTTATCAGCATCAATTAGCATTAAAACAAAACAAATATGACAAAAATATCTGACTGAAAGAAACCAAATATCACCACCAGGCAAAATACCGTCACCTCCACTATGACGACTGCAGTAGGAGCTCACTTCTGCCATTTACGTGTATCCAATTTATATTTAGCAGACGGCGTTATTTTGGCTCTCACTAAGCTTTTTGCTGACGCAGTTAATTACATTTGCTCAGTTTTATCTTAACCCCCATTCCATACCAGCCCCGTGGGGCTGTGGGTGCAGAGCTCCTGCTGCAGCTCCCCGGGCCTCGACGCCCTCCTGGCACGTGCTGCTGTGATCCATGTCTGCACTGAGTCACCATGAGGTCAGATGCCACACATCACAAACCAAACAGAAATTCTCTTAAAATGAACAATTGAGATTTCAATTCATTTAACAACACAGCAGTTCGATTTTTTTTTTTTTTTTTTAAATCTTTATCATCCATGTTCCCAGTTATGCCACAAAAGCCAACAAATAAAGCAATTGTTGAAAGATGACAAAGAAAGCTTTATCCAGAAAGCGATGGTGCAGAAAGCGCACGATGCCAAAATTCTGACAGATAATTTATGCAGCAGCTGTTTTCAAAAGAAACATTCATGCACACAGCCGTGGGGCCGGGGTCAGGTGAGGAGGGGACTGGAGGCCCGAGATGATGGAAAACGGAGCCCCAGCATCAGCAGAGCCCTGTCTGACAGCACACGGCCTTCCTCCAGAAGAATTCTCTTCGCAGGGTCTCCCCAGGCTGTGAGCTCTCAGCACCTGCCTGCCAGCACACAGATGGCAGGACCACAGAGTTTCAGCCACGTAACGCCAGCTCAGCCATTTACGGGAACTTGTTTAACATAAATACTCTTTTTCTTTGCAGTCTTGTAGCATTGCAATTGTTGTGATCTCCAACAGTTTTACAGGCAGCAACAGAAAACCTACAGGCCACTGTACTCACCCTCTCGGCCTCAGCTTTCTTCCAAAACCTTTGTTCTAGCATAGCCCACACACACCCGTGGGACAACCATCCCTTCCACTAAGCTCAACAGATCCTAAGGACACACTTGGCAAGGTCCAATAAAGCTGTGCGTTCACACAGGCTATACCTCTACACATATCTGTCACTCAGGTAAGGAAATACCTACACAATTGTCTGAGATGCAGGCAGACCACAGGGGAACCAGGACAAGCAATGTTACAGGAAGAGGAATAAAATAAAAAGCTAAATTCTGTAAATAAAACATCATAATAATTTTAAAAAAGAAGAGATGGGACCAGTGCCAGATACTACAGAATTTTACATAGCAACACTTAGAGTATTATACCTTCACCTCCTTAAAAGAACCTTTCCATCCACACCCGCCATACCTGACTTGCTGATTCTCTGAAAATAGTTACTATATAATAGGGACAATTGTTACGCTTCAAATATATTTACAGCCAGAGCCATTTTGAAGATGGAGCTGCTTTCTTCTGGACTGGAGATCCCAAGAACTTCAGAAGTACTAATGAGAACTGGGCAGCAGCCAGCATGGTAGTTGAATAGAAAGGAACACAGAACAGACAAATGATGTTTATGCAACACTTGATGTCTTACCAGTTAGAGACAGATGTGCTAAACAACTTGCATACTAAGCTTAATAAATATAAACTGTCATCTTAACTTCAGAATTTTGCTTAAGGCATCCAACCAAGATCTGGATGAGTTCTACAACAACAACATGCAGTCTTCCCATGTAAGTCTGATAAAGAAGTAAAAATGGAAATTAAGACATGTGATTGACACAAGTACTCTATTGTTTTAAGGTGAGAGGTTTGTCTAAAAATAGCGTTAGCAAAGAATTGTGGCATAACTGAAACCCTGGGTACGTCCCATTCCAGAACCAGGGGTTGTGTTTCTCGAATAATGTGGTGCAAGTCTCTTAGGACTAGTTCCATAAAGCACAGCAAAGCCCTCACAACAGCCTCCATACTCACTAGCTAGATTTCTTAAATCAAAAGTGCTCCCTGTTTGAGTCAGTGTTATAATTCTGTTTCTCCCTGAACTACGTGATTTGAAGGTTCCATTTCACAGAGTAATTAATAATCACCTAAAACCGAAAGAGAAAGTTACTTAATTCACAGCAGAGCCAAGAATTAGCTGCTGCTAGAGTTACCCAGAGATGCAGCCCTTCAGAAAAGGGCTGTGCACAGAAAGCAAAGAGTTTTCTGAGGTCCCTCCAACTCTGGGAAAAGCCCGTGAGACACACCGGGTGCTGCTTTAATGCGCAGTATCTTTGGATAATCAGGTCTTTCTTCACAACTCAGTATAAAGTTTGGTTACATTTACAAACTTGAAAATCCTCCCTTTCCTCTACACCCACACACTTTTAAGGCAATACAAAGTGATAGGAAAGCTTTGATGTTTTTAACACATCCAATACAAAGCTGCAATGCCTTGAACAACTTCCCTTTTAACCCCTGCCAACACAAGTACTCCTTCTTAAAAGTTGAGCAGCAATTGAAGATCCCTGAAGAATAAAGCCACATACCTACCCTGACAATGACTGAAATGACTTCATTTGCTCTATTTACCAGAAACTGCCTCCACCAGAAGTTCACCTCTTTCATTCCTTACCCCTGATCACACACTGCGTGGACGAATCCACATTCTCACCACATACGCTGTGAGCAACTTTGCATTCTATAGCTTCACCACACCGGCAGTGAACTGACTTTATCTGGCAGCTCCGAACATCAGCAAGGCCGGCAACACTCCCCGCTGTGATACCAGCAGCAAATGACAAGAGCACTTTCTGTTCTCCCTCCAGACACTTTTCATTTTGTTTCTTTCAGTCAGTACCCAAGGAAAAACTCCCTGGACAGCTCCTGAGGTGTCACACCGCGTCCCTTTCCACGTGGTTTTCGATGTCGCCTAGGGTACTTCAGCCCTCCAGCCTCCCAACCTGAGGGAAGAGCTGTGTCACTTCGGCACAAAGCTGGAAACGTGCCACCGCCTTGTGACCGCCGCTCTCCGGGAGGCCGCTCATCTGGGAACACCGCCGTTCATTTTTCCTCACGACCCCTCTTCTGCTAAATCGATAGCTCGATACAGACGAAAGTTACAACCCGACCGACGGCTTTCGCTCCTCCGCACCCGCGCCAGAAGCGGGGCCGGTTCCCCGCGCGCGGCTCCACGCCCCGCCCGGCGCGGTGCCGCAGAGCGGAGCCCACGCACCGACAGCTGCGGCACCCGCGCGTGGGCAGCGCCGAGCCAAGACGCGCGGCACGGGGCCGGGCGCGGGGACACCTCCGGAGCCTGACTCAGCGTCACACGCACGGAACGAAGCCGAGTTCTCCCAGCTCTCACAGCTCAGAAAGAAAACGCTTGCGGAAGGCCGTGCCCTGAAGGGGAACGCGAAATACTTGGCCGATGGGAAAAGACGGCCCCGCCGCAGCCCGCGGCCGGTTCGGTTCTTTCTGCCGGCGCAACAGAGGTCGGCGGAGTAGTTTCCCACGCGCAGACTTTGAGAACCGGTACGGCCGGAGGCACAGAGCCGCGGGCTGCGCGCCTTTACGCGAAAGGCGAAGCGCAGGCGGCACAGCCCGCGCAGAGCACGGAGCCAGGCACACGCAGGGCACAAAGGCTCGTCGAGGGCCGCAGAGCCCACGTCGCCGGCCGGCACTCAAGGACTCTCCGAGTGTCCGTTTGTCGGGAACAATAGACAGCAACAGATGCTCGCGGCGCTCCTTCACGAAGCGAGCCCTTATCGCTCCCGCACGCAGCCGCCACATGGCCGCGGACCCATGAATAATGCAGCGGGAGCTCCCGCAGGCCGCCCACGGCTCGCTCAGAAGGGACGGCGGGACGGAGCGATCGCCGCCCGCAGCGCCCGCCCCGCCAAGCGGCCCGCCGCCCCCACGCCACCGAGCTCACCTGGGGCTGCGCTCCCCCCGCGGCGTCGGAGAGGGGATGAGGCACGGAAAGGCGACCGAGAGGACCGAGGCGGGCGTTTCCCCGCCCCGCCGCGCGGCTCCCCCCTGGCAGCGGGGCAGGAGGCGCTGCGGGGCCGCCCCGCGCTGCTCGCGGCGCCGCCGGGGACGAGGCGCCGAGCGCGGCAGCCGCTGACAGCTCCGCAATATGGCGGCGGCGGCGCCGTTCAGATTTTCCCCCCTATCAGATTTTGCGGCTCGGGACGCGGCGCGCGTGCGTGGAGGGGAACGCGCGTGCGCGCTGGGCGGCACGAAGCCGCTGCCCGGAGCCCCGGCGGAGGGGCGCGGGGTTTCGGAGGCGCGGAGGGAGCCGCGCGCCGTACTGCGGCTCCGAGGGCGGAGTGTCCCGCTGCCTCGGGGCTCGGTGGAGGGGTTGCGCTTGGCGAGGGGGGTCGGAAGGCGTCCGGGAGTAAAACTCGAAAAGCGTCGGCCCGCTTAAGTGAAGCGATGAGGGGAGGCGGCTCGCGCGCGGGTTCGGCCGTCGGCCGGCCCTGAGGGGAATGGCACAGGCGTGCCCGGGCGGGAGTGGGGCAGCCGCGTGCTGTGGCACGAATGGGCGGGCGGGGAGCGCGGGGCCCTGCGGAGGGGGAGCGCCGAGCCCCTGCGTGCCGCCCTGCCCTCGTGTGCCGGGGGAGATCATCGCGACTAATACGTCGCTCTCAGATGGTTTCACGCGTCTTGGCTGTTCCGCAGTCATCGCCGCAGGACCCGAGTGTCTCGGTTTATTAAACGCGTTCGATTTTCTCCCATGGGCTGAAATTTCCTTGGGGTAACCCCTTCTGTCTGCTGTTTGTGCTTGTTCTCATGAGCGGCCAGGTTGAAAACGGAGTGCTTTGCTGCACGTTGAACTTCGAAGTGCCTCGTATCCTCCACAGGTACCACAGCACACACTTCCCTCTCGGGTGGCCCGCGAGAGCCGGTGGAAATGAATAAGCTCTTCGGTGGAAAGCCAGACCCAATCTCAATCAGTACCTAAAGACAGGAGCTTTGGTTTGAACCAGAAACCGTGATTCAGCGCAGAGCAGATAACGTGTTTATTTTAGCTGACTGAATTTGGGACTGGCTTTTCCTCCAGAACAGTCCCTTGTCAGCTGGCTCAGGTATGGGATTATTGCTCTGAGGTCATGGCTTCATGATGATAGCGAGTGGGAAAAAGCTCTTTTCAATGCGTGCATTATCATTTTAGGATATGCTTTATCTCTGGTCCTGTTGCACGAAGAATAATATGTCACCATAATATGTCGGTGAAGAAGAAAAGAAAAAATGTCACTGTAAATAATAGTCTTATCTACATTGTTAACAGTATAATGTGGTTTTCTTCTCACTTTGCTTCCTTAACAAGGTGTGAAGTTGCAGTTTGCCTGATAAAGCAGGGCAGTAAAAACAAAAGTGCAGTTGGTGTTTGTACTCTTTAGTCATGAAACTGAAACTACAGGAGGAGCTACGATCAATAAAGAGAGCTTTCAGATATCCATATCAACTTAAATTACACAGTTCTTTAAGAAGCGGGTTATAAAGTTACTGATAAGAGTGCTGTAACTGCAAGATATAAAAGTTTATCTTCCAGCAGTAATGCCAACATACAGCTCTTCATTAAAAAACATATTCTGAGCTTTCAGTGCCCTATCTGAGGAATCAATGCTACAATCGATTATGACAGGAAAGGTTTCCAAGCCAGTGCATCTTATTTTTAGTGTATCTGCAAAAACAGAAAGTGTTGGTCAGTAAAGACCCAACTGTGAGTTAGATGTCACTTCTGTTAATGCTAAATGTGCAATCCAAGGGATGTTTACTGGACAGCAAATTTTGGAAAGGAGAACTAAAAAAAAAAGGTAACTGAGGATTTTTTTTTTTTTTTTCATGTTAAATGTTATGCTGTGCACTTTTACCTGTAATTCAATCAAGATTTGTGCCATCAGCTGCATAGAAGTGTGGTTCTGCCCATATCTCGCCACTAACGTGAGAAGTTATACATGGATTTGTCTGCAAGTCTGGAACCCAGCCACTCTTTCTGGGAAAATGTGTGCCTATGACTCAGTACGCACATACTTATCTATTAATATGTTTGCAGAAGCAGACTTCACATCATAAAAAAATATTGCAGGGTAACTCAACTATTACTAATTGTATGGCCTAAAACCAAATTGTTTAATACTTCGTTAATATTTGAATACAACGGGATATTTTATTTTAATGCACATTGATAATGTTTCTTTTTTCAACAACTATTGCCCCTTTGAGTTTCTGCTAGAAAGAAATGGAACTGAAGGAATTTTGTGGTCATTAGATGAATCCAATTCAGAGATATTTAAAATATTTGGATATATTACAGTAAATGGTGAGATGTTAAGTTTGTCTGTCATTTAAAGTTAAATGTATCTAATTCCAGAAAGTACCAAATTTCAATAAATGTATAAGGATTCCAGTAACGATGCTGAATATTCCAAATTCCTTCTATTGTATATTGATGTAGTCTCAGCTTTGATGAAGTTCAAAAGGCAAATTGTGGTATGGTTATGGGAAGAATTTGTCCTTTGCCCATTATTGTAGTTGTGTGAAGCACATTTAGGAGTCCTGCAGTGCCCTGATCTTGCAGTTTGCAGCACCTCTGCAAACATTTATTGCTGATTGCCTCAGCTCCAGGATGCAATTATATCCAGAGCTCTGCTGCTGGATATTCCCTTTAACAAGTGTTATGATGAGGGAGGACAGCCCCAGTGTGCAGAAAGTGCAGGGAAGAGAGATTCTGCCTCCTCTTCAGGAGCACAGAAAACAGAAAGGACAAGCCAGGACTCCAGAGCCTAGTCAAAATGTCTGTAAAACAGTATTCAGGATAATCTGCTAATGAACTGCTGTGTTGGCAGCTAATTTGGTGTCAGGCAGTTCTGCCTTTTGTTTTAACAGCCTAGCTGAAGAGGCTTAACCTTTAACATTCACAGTGAGACTCTGCTGGCCAGCAGCCACCTTTACTGTTGAAAATCTGCAGTTGTTGGCAAAAGGTCTGTGCAGCAGTCCAGTGAGTTCCTGCCAGTGAGAGACTTAAGTACTGCTTCTCTTAATGATTGTTGCTACTGCAAGCAGACATGCTGTACTGTCTAGGGCCTGGGTGAGTAAATCACCTGAAAGCTTTACTAACACCTCATGTATGATAACTGGTAGCACATCTTTGTTTTTCTCATAGGTATGTAGTCTCTGATATAACAGCGAAGATACTGCAGTGGTGTCAGTCTATCTCAGGGCCAAATTATATATATATATATATTTTTTTTTTTTTTTTCTGCTCAAGATTGAATGTAATTAGTTCATTGTAGAGGAGTGTGCTCATTTGAGTGTGTCAAATATGGTCCTGAACAATTCTTATCAAGTGAATCAATACTTGCATCTCTGAGGCAGCAATTTGCTAATAACTTAAATTTTGCATACAAAATATGGATCACCCATTCATTATATTTAATCCACTATTCTAACTACCGTTACCACTGTATGGTTTTGTAACTGCTGATAACTGCACAAAGGGCACATTAACAAATTAAACTGCTTTGCAATTAAGGTTGGAGCAAGCTGGCTGATTTGTGGTACTCCAGCTGGGATGAATCTGTTCATGTCACTGCTCTTGTGTCATGTCACCCAAACATGCCTTCACTGATACATAAGGTTGTCATCTAACAGCTGACACTTAGCTGCAGTTCTTGCTGCTGGCCACTTCATGTTTTTATCTCATTCATAGTTATAATTACTATGACAAATGCAAGTTGTTTTGCAGTGACAGCATTGTTTTTTTAGTGACAGTGTTTATTATAGCTATAATATGGTCAAGTCTGGGTCAGGTCCATAGCATTGGAAATGAAAGCCATTGGTAACCCTGGAGATATTAATTTCAGCAAAATAATGTTAAGAATTTGTAATGAAATAAAATAGGAGTGAGGTAAGGCAATAGGCAGAGTTAAAAGCAGCGGTTCAGACAGAATGTTTTTGATGGAACTACTTCTATGAGCAAAAAAAAGGAGAAAGAATATGATTACCAGGGAATTGGATGCAAGCATTTGAAAGCTTGTATAATACATACAACTGTTAAAGCCAAAGCAAATGCTTTTGATTCCACCTCAACACACTCCCTACCCAGATTACATGTTAAAGCTTTCCTAAGATGCAGCCATGCGATTTTTGTGAATAAACAATATGATATTAAAATACAGAGCTTTTTACTAGGAATTAAATATTTTTAAGTCCTGTACCCTTCTAATTTTACATCCTCGACTTCCTTCCTTATTAAGAAACAGAAGTAACAAAGGCTGTGAGAGTTGAGAGTTTTCAGTTCCAAACACAGTCTCAAGACTGTCATCAACCTATTCTACCTAAATAGATGTGCTGAAACTTTGAAAAGGAGGTCTACCTTTCCCCTCAACCCTTTCCAAACAGAGTGGCTAAGGCTTCTTTTCTAACATGAGCATTTCAGTGAATGTTTACATATATTTAGAAAAGTGAGAACTGAAGTGGACTGTTCAGTTTTGTGTTCTTGAATTATAGGGTAGTATTTCTTAATATTTGCCAGCGTCACATAAGATGGAAAAAGTGCCCATGGAACCAAAGGAAAAACCCTATTACCTGTTCAAAACCCTATTACCTCCCCAGCTCACTCTTACTAAGGAAGTGTTCTAGTTGAAAGAAAATAGAAGGCTGTTTTTGCTGATATTATTTTCAGCTAAATTGTGTACTGCCCCTGATGATGAAGTTCTGCTGAAAAAAACAATCAAACAAACAAAAAAAAAATTGGTTAGAAAAAAGTCACACCATGAACTTCAGGTAAAGAAGTAGAAAAAAATACAATTCCTTTCTTATTTTAAGTGCTATGCCTCTTTTGGAATCAGTGGTTTATTTCAGAATTAATCTGCTAGCACAGAGTAGAAGTAGCAAGTCAGCAGACGTTCTGGGCTTCTGAAGGAACAGAAGAACAAGAAGGCTGAGCTGATGCAAAGAAAAAGCATGTGTCATTAAAGGCAGCTATAGCAATACTGCTTTAGTGAATAACCCTATGGAGTTATTTTCTTCAACTCCCTATCACAAGTGAGGAATATATTAAGACTTCATTTGCAGAAGCTGGAATATCTCAACTCTTTATCATCAGCACACCTACAAAGATGCAATTTTGAGTCTGGAAGGTAATTTGGAATTATGAGGGCAAATGTTCTTGTACAAGTATTATGTTGCAATTTAATGTTATCAGAACAAATCAGCCCTGAGTAAAGTTCAGCAAGGAGAAATATAAGTAAGGAAAGGGAGAAAGACAAGACAATTCTATGTTGCTAAGAACTTCAGCATAAAATATATAAAAATATAACAAACAAACAAATATTTATATTTATATTTACATTTACATTTATAAAAATATACAATATTACAATAGTATTTTTAAAACCTGCTCCTTTTCATTTCACTACGTGTGAAGAAGGCTGAAAGATTTAGCAGTATTTACTTTTAGAAAAATTATTAAAAGATAATAATCTTTGGATGTCCTTTAAGAATGCTGACACTTGAAGAACCAAATGAGTTAAAATATAGTGAGTACTAAAGAAATGAAATATGATGTAGTTGAAATGAGTAATTAGCTTAATTTTGATTCCTTAAGGGTCTGAATTCTGTTAATGACTTTCTATGATAAGTCATTCATGAAGCTCAGGAGTGAAGGGTGTGAAAGAGAGTACAGGCACAGATACAGAAGCCAACTGTATCCTGAGCTGCATCCCAAGCAGTGTGGCCAGCAGGGTGAGGGAGTGATTCTGCCCCTCTCTCTGCTCTGTGCTGCTGAGGCCTCACCTGCTGTACCATGTCCAGATGTGGAGTCCTCAGTACAAGACTCATGTGGAACTGCTAAAAAGTGTCCCGACAGGGGCCACAAAAATGATCCAAGGGATGGAACACCTCTCCTACAAGGACAGGCTGGGAGAGCTGGGGCTGTTCAGCCAGAAGAAGGGAAGGCTCCGGGGAGATCTGAGGGTGGCCTTTCAATATGTAAAGGGTGGCAATTAGAAAGAAGAGGACAGACACCTTAGCAGGTTCTGTTGTGATAGGACAAGAGGAAATTCTTTCAAACTCAAAGAGGGGAGATTTAAACTGGAAATAAGAAAAAAGCACTGGAACATTTTGGCCAGAGAGGTGGTGGCTGTTCTGTTCCTGGAGGAACAGGTCAAGCTGAATGGGGCTCTGATCAACCTGATCGAGCTGTACATGTCCCTGTTTGTCATAGGGGAGTTGGACTACATGTACTTTAATAGTCCCTTCCAACTCAAACATTTCTATGATTCTATGATTGTATGAGATTTGGTAGTTCAGGCGCTGCTGAAGTTAAAAGTATAAAATAGATAAGTTGTTTCATGAATCTAAATCTTTTAAACAAAGCTTGTTTCTGCTTGTTCCCACCTAAGGATCAGGAGGACGTTAAGCTGATTGCACTGCTGATTGGTCATCATTGTAACTCTAAAGCTTTGCACAAAGCTGGCTGTTTGCTAACTTGCACATTTACTGATTTGAAGGTGTGTCCTTTCTTTCTTTATATGATATCCTGTCACCTAAAAATAGTTGAGCATTTTGTTCTTCATTGTTCCAGCTGAGCCCTCACGCAGGCCTCATTTCTATTGCCACCCTGCAAAAGACTGGAGAAATTTCAGCAGCCCTGAAGAGGCAGCACAATGGCAAATGAAGTTTACACAAGGTAGAGGAACTACAGACGACTCACATCTTGCACATGATGTGGTAACAATACTGCTTCCAGAAAAATGGTTCTAGGTCACCCTGCCTGAGTGGGGCATAGTACAAGATGGCCTCACAAGGTCCCTCCCAGCTTCAGCTGTTCTGTGAAAAAAACACAGCTATTAATTTAGGCAGTACAGTGTGTGGCTCTGATCAACAAGGTGTTTGTCTGATATACGTAGAAATCACACAACCTGAGCCAAAATGTGCGCAGACCTGATCACCAGAGGTGGGCTAACTGAGGATAGTGCCCACCAAGCCACTCTCACTCTCCATCTTTAACAGGACAGGAGCCTAAAGGACTGCAATATTAGGCAACATTTAGAGACATGAAGGGCATGGACAAAGAAAAAAAAAAAGAAAAAGAAAAAGAAAAAAAGGAAACTAATGAATTAGAACTTTTAACCTAAGACATGAAATTAATAAGAAGAGAATCAAACATGCAAGCCTGAGGCTTTGGAGGAAGAACAAACAAGAAAATAAATAAACCAGTCCTTTCTGTAAAATGTCTTCCTTGGGCAGCAAGCATTACTTGTGTCTTCATACGTGATTCCCTATGAAAAGCACATCAATGATAAGTGATTAATGAATAGCAATAACCAGTCAGTAAGAAAGGACAGCCGGTGATTGGAAGTGACTAACTAAAATTAAGTGGTGACATTTCAGCATACAGCAGCTTAAACTGCTGCTGGTCATACACTGGACTTGACAGAAAAGGAGGTAAGGATCTGCCGCCTGCCCTAAGAAACCAGGGGACAGCTCTAAATGACTACTTTAGGAAAAGAGTAGTTGCTGTTGGCCTTCCTTTACTTTCCTCCTTTCAAAGTTCTGTCTTGTTACACCACATGATTTCTTGTTTCTAAGTAGTCTTCTGAAGGGCATCCTGGCTTGCATCAGAAACAGTGTCGCCAGCAGGAGCAGGGCAGTGATTGTGCCCCTGTACTCAGCTCTGGTGAGGCTGCACTTCCAGTACTGTGTCCAGTTTTGGGCCGGCAAGAAAGACTACCGAGACATTGAGGCCCTGGAGTGAGTTCAAAGAAGGGCAACAAAGCTGGTGAGGGGTCTGGAGCACAGGGCTTATGAGGAGCGGCTGAAGGAGCTGGGAATGTTCAGTCAGGAGGAGGCTCAGGGGAGACCTCACTGCTCTCTGTAACTACCTGAAGGGAGGGCTGGGGGTTGGCCTTTTCTCTCCTGTAACTGGTGGTAGGGCTAGAGGGAATGGCTTCAAGCTGTGCCAGGGGAGATTCAGGCTGGATGTTAGGAAATGCTACTTCTCTGAAAGAATGGTCAGGCACTGGGATGGGCTGCCCAGGGAGGTGGTAGAGTCACCGACCAGTGCTATTCAATATATTCATCAGTGACTTGGATGAGGGAGCAGAGCGTGCTGTTAGCAAGCTTACTGATGACACAAAACTGGGAGGAGTGGCTGACACACCTGAGTGCTGCCACTCAGCGAGACCTGGACAGGCTGGAGAGTTGGGTGGGGAGAAACTGAATGAAATATAACAAGGGCAAGTGTAGAGACTTGTATCTGGGCAAGAACAACCCCAGGTACCAGTACAGATTGGAGACTGACCTGTTGGAGAGCAGCACAGGGGAAAGGGACCTGGCTGGTCCTGGTGAACAGCAGGGTGACCACGAGCCAGCACTGTGCCCTTGTGGCCAAGAAGGCCAATGGCATCCTGGGGCATCCTAGAAGGGGCTTGGTTAGTAGATGGAAGAGGTTCTCCTCCTCTTCTACTCTGCCCTGGTGAGACTGCATCTGGAGTATTGAGTCCAGTTCTGGGCCCCTCTGTTGAAGAAGGACAGGGAACTGCTTGAGAGAGCTTGAGAGTCCAGCACAGAGCCACAAAGATGATGAAGGGACTGGTGCATCTCCCTTATGAGGAAAGGGTGAGGGACCTGGGTCTCCTTAGCTTGAAGAAGACTGAGAGGTAACCTCGTTAACATTTATAAATATGTAAAGGGTGTGTGCCAGGAGGATGGGGCCAGAGTCTTCTCAGTGACATCCAGTGACAGGACAAGGGCAATGGGTACAAGCAACATAGGAAGTTCCACATAAATATGAGAAAAAACTTCTTCATGGTGAGGGCAACAGAACACTGGAGCGGGCTGCACAGAGAGCTTGTGGGGTCTCCTTCTCTGATGGCACTCAAAATTTGCCTGGACACATTCCTCTATGACCTAATCCAGGTGTTCCTGCTAAGGCGAGGGGATTGCACTAGATGAGTTTTAGAGGTTCCTTCTGTATGGGAAGTGCTGAGTTACAGCCTGAACCTCTGATTGATCACCTGAGGAGAGCAATGAGTCAGCCAGAGGAGCACAGGTGAAGGTTATTCACCTGTGCTGCCAGCAGGGGTGGAGCCAGTCTCCAACCCTCCTAGACCTATTTAAGAGCTGGCTACAAGTAGAGAAGAATCTCATCTGGAGATCTGCTCTGCTAGAGTTTTGTAAGTGAGTCCAGGATGTGGGTAAGATTTCAATCCTCTTCTTGTTATCATTATCTGATTTACCAAACTCTATTGTTTATTTTGTAATTATAATGTCTTAATATTGATTGATTATACACCCTCTGTGATTCTGTAAGTGGTATGGAGAAAAAAAAGCAGCTATTAAAATGAACACTTGATTAAAAAAAACACTCTTCACATCTCAGAAAAGATTCTGGCATTTAGATAGTTTTTAATAAATAATACAATTTCTTTAGCTCATTCTCTTTTCTCTCCTCTCTCTGTTCACTTCTCTCCCCTCCTTGCCTTAAACACTGTTTTTCAACATAGCCACCATCATGAGCTCTGCATTTTTGCCACTCACGAACAACAGCCTGCATGTCATGCTCATAAAAATTGCACCATTAGAGGTGACCTGCTGCTGTCACCACTGCTGAAACACACCACCCATGGCTTCACTATGCTCCCATCTACTGTTTTTGGTCTCCATAAACATTCAGCAAGCATCAATGAATGTCAGTGGGTGTCCTTCTTTTTCTGCATGGAGGAACTGAATGACACACTTCATATGCACTTCCATATCGGATGCCAATTTGTCAGACTGTCCCACTGCTAACACCTATCACACAGCAATAAAATGTAACAGAATATTTGTGGTAAGGTTCAACCTCTACTACCATACTGCCAACATCTGCCTCTGACATCTCAGGTCAACGTGACAAAATAGGAGGCATTACTTTCAGAGTAACCCTCATAGTTTCACTATGGTGTCTATTACTCCACCTAAGCCAGTAACATGGTTGATTCTTGATTAGACAGCTTTGATTCCAGATGGCTTTTATGTTCTTTAAAGCAGGTAGTCCAGCAAAAGAGAATTTATGACAGTGTACTTAGGTAGATATTATTGAATGCCTTGCTTCATGCTTGCAAGGGGCAAACGTTAGAGAGGCCAATGTGAGAAAAAAAAAACCAACAAGGTGATGGATGGATTTCTAGAGAATTTTACATATATTTATCAATGGATATGTAAATGTGTTATTCTATCTCACACCTTTGAAAGGCTTACTGTAGCAAAGACTAGGATTAGAATATTTTTTGTAGTTTGAGTACTCTAAGTTGTACATACTAAGTCACACAGGCCATTAGACAGCACCTAACGTGCAGGATAAGGGAATTCAAGTTGGTAAATCAGCCATAGTGGGAGCTCAACTCAAATGTCTGCATACTAATGCATGAAGCAAGGGGAACAAGCAAGAGGAGTTGCAGGCATGCATATACCTACAGGGCTATGATGTCATTAGCATCACTGAGACACGATGGGATGGCTCTCAGGACTGGACTGTAGGAATAGACTCCTCAGGAAGTCTAGTGATCCTTGCCTTGCTTTTCCCCTCCTTGCCTCCAGCTCTATCGTTGAAGTGAAGACTCTCTTATTCTCCTCCATGTCTCCCTAGAAAAACGAGAGTTGCAATTTCACTAATTTTTAGCTCAAACAGCCTCTGAGGGGGGGGAAAAAATGTTTCTTTCTCCCGGGATCTCTCTGGCATAGGGAAGCTACAGCTGTGACCGCAGCTTCAGCTAAAGCCGGAGTGCCAGTACCTGTCTGTGGGCCCATGCAGCTGGAAGAAGTTGTCAATCATGACCTCTGTGTGACAGTTTGTGAGGATGACCACTGCCTGGCACAGGAAGGGCATGGATGTACTCTGCTGCACAGATGATGTGTAGCTGTGCAGGATGTAGAGGATTGGAGACACCTGAAAGAAGAAGGGGAGAAAGAATGACTTGCTGCATCTTTGACTCTGCAGGGAGTAACCATGGACGTTCAGTGCATGAGTGGTGCCTGCTCCCTTGACATGCTGCCAAGGCCTAAGCCTAAATTTCATGCCAGCCACCCTGTCCATGCCCTGGCTCTGCATTCAGGCTGTGTTTCTTCAGCACAAGAGGAAAGCAGCACAAGGCATAGTGCAACAGCTAGCAAAAGTGCCAGACATGTGGAAGAAAGTCTCTTACATCCCAACAGATGTCTTTTCTGTACATCTGCAGAAAGGTGGTCATCCACTTCCCAGCAGCACGCACACGCACTCCTTTGGCTCTCCTGAAGGTCTCCTTGATGGCCATCATGAAATCAACGGTGCGTTCTAGAGGGAAGTTTCTGCACATGATCTGCAGAGAAATGAGAAGCAAGAGAGATCCTGTCACTGCTCTGCGGCAGCTCTTCAAAACATAAAGCAGTCTTGAGGGCATTCTTAATTCAGCAGCTTGCCAGTCATTCAGCAGCAATCACAATGCTCCTGCTGTCTGTACCCTGCTGTTTATACAGAAGGCGGTTGAGCCTTCTCTCAGCTTCTCCACCCATGGTGTTTGCTTACATGCAAAGCCTACCTCTCAGCAGCCACAGTCACACACAAGCACACATGGAGTCAGCTCCTTGCACTGGGCACCTGAAGGCCAGGCATAGCTCAGAGCCTTCTGCTACTTGCTGAGAAAAGCAGTCTCAGGGTGACAGCTCATTCTGCTGTCATCAGTGCAGGGTTGTGCACCTCTCCCTCCTGTAAACAGGACCCAGCCCGTGGGGCTCTGGTAGTGCTGCGGAGGAGGGCAGAGGACTGGCGCACGCCTGCTTTACTCACCTTGGATTCAGAGAAGGGAGCTGAGGCAGGTGACAGCCAACTGGTGGGATGTGGGCATGGGGTCACAGGTCAGAGGTGCCAGCAATCCCACCAAGGAGCCAAAGTGCTCCTAGGCATCTCCTCTCTGCAGGGGTGAGAGGCAGGAACAAAGCTGTAGGTGGCCCCAGCTTCTCCTGCCTGTGCCTTCCCCACACTGTGACACAGCATGCACAGCTGAGTGGAGCTCGCCTTCCAGCTCAGGGGCACAGGGGAGGGAGCAGAGGGCACGTGGTGGGGCTCTTTACTCATTTGAAACTCTTCACAAACAGTCAGCAGCTGGGAGCAGGTCTGCAGGGCCCTCTTGCGCTCCCACACATTGTCTGATGTCATAGATCTCTGCAGGACCTGTGGCAGAGCATCTGTCTCACTGAGGATGTCTTTTCTTTCCCTTCCTCCCACCCCTCTCCCTGTCCCTCCTTTCCTGACACTTTTCCTCAGGGCCCCCCGCACCACCACTGCTGCTCCTGCTCTCTGCAGACACTCCTCCCTCCTAACCTAGAAGCTTTTCCTTGGCTGTGGCTTGCCCCAGGCATGGGCTCCTGCCTTTCCCCCTGCAGGGCCCATTTCCCTGCCCATTTTTGAGCTTGCAGTGAGCTGTTTGTCAGCAGGAGATTTCTCCCCCTCTGACCGCCCTCTCAGCCCCCAGATCTGTGTCCCTGCTATTGACAGTTACCATGCTTTCTCCCTTACCCCCCCACATACTCACATGGACTGTGTTCTGGAAAAAGCCACGGGTGGGCTCTGTCTTGAGCAGAACTGCCATAAGCTGGCCCAAAGATTTCAGTGATGTTTGCTGAAGCTGAAAGCAGAAGAGGGGATTGAGGTGTGGCATCATGGCTGCTGCCAGAGCATAGGTTGTGTGTGCTGAGATAGGGCTCTGACCAAGAGGTGGCCGAGAAAGTTATGATAGGTTACCTGCAGGTACTGAGCTGCTTGCTGTGACTTTCTGATCTTCAGCATCATCTCTGCCGAAGGGTGCATCACAATGTTCTTGCAGCACAGAACCAATATTTCACGCGTATCCTTGCTTTCTAAAGAGGGCTTCAGCTTGCTGACAGGAGGAAAAAAGGAGAAAGCAGTGAACTACTCCTGCTCTGAAGGGAAGGAGACCCCATATCTCCCTTCTCTTCCCTACAAGGGAACAGAAGCACCAGGGCCTTTCTCCCTGCCCAGAATCTCAGCTTTTCTGGGCACAACAGCCCAGCTATCTCTCCTGTAGATACAGCTCCTCCCCCCCCACCCCCTCCAGGCCTTTGGCAGCTATCCAAAATGGGGACCACTATCCTGCCTTGCAACCCTAGACCTTACCTCAACTGCTCCAGGGCCAGAACCAACTTGAGGGGCACTGGGGAGACAGGGATTCCTGAGTAGTACTTCTTCAGCAAGTCCTGCAAGTCCCAGAGAGACAGAGTCAAAGTGGGCAAGAAGCACACAAGAGCTGTTCTGTCCAGCCCAGAGACAGACACAACTGCCACACACCAGCCCCATCACTCCCACATTTCCCACGGTGGCACTGCAGGATGCAGCATCTCCACAGCTGGTGGACCTCGCCTGCTGCCCAGCTGCTGCCTGCCAGCACCCAAGGTCCCCACAAGCTGGAGACGTGGCTGAAGGAGACCTTTATGCCTCCAGAGAAGCGAGCCCCATGGCACAGCCCGGAACTCTACTGCAGACAGCCCTGTCTCTAGGCACTCACCATCAGGATCTCCAGAAGCTTGCCCTTGAAGGAAGAGTTAAAGCAGGCAGAGTCATCCACAGCTTGCAAGGCTGAGCTGAAGCTGGTGATGCTCTGTACCAGCGCAAGGTTGTTCTGCAAGTCCTGAGGCCCAAGAGAGAAGAACATTCTCTGAATTGCGGGAAGGGCCGAGGGCTGCAAGGGGGACACGTGGGCAATGCTAAGGGAAAGCTTGGATCTTCATCTTGGCACAGATGATCCCCCAAGGGACCTTTGAAAAGAGAAGGCCCATCTCAGCATCCCCCCATTTGGAGGGGCTGCATCGGGTGCTCAGACACCCTGGCACACTTCAAGTTCTCACCTGGCAGCTGCAGCTGTAGAGCATCAGGATGTTGCCCACGATGTCTCCCTCCAGGTGGACAAGCAGCTGTTCCTTGGAGGCACGCAGTGCCAAGCTGCCATGAGCGAGCATGAGAGCGCTGCGTGTGGCATGAGCTCTCATGCTGTCCAGGTCCATCTGTGTGGGGAGAAATGCCTTGAGTCACTTGCTCCACGGCCCCCAGTGCCCCGCGATGCACCTGGGCTCCCAAGGCAGGAGCTGCTGTGAAAATAAGGCAGAAGAATGCCAAGATAGAAACCCGTAACACTTCACCTTCTTGCGCCTGGAAATCCTCGCATTCCAGCCTTTGCACAGCCTGGATGCAAACACGGTGAGTGTGTCCAGGACTGGGTGGAAGTTGCCCTCAGCAGCATGGCTGAGAAGAGAAATTATTCCCTGCACAAAAGAGCAGTTGGCGCAGGCCTGAACCTACTGGTGCGGCCAACCACGGTGACCGGGCCGGTCCTTGCCTGAGGGAAATGGCAGCAGTGAGGAGATCAAAAGGCCTGGAGCAGGGCCAGGAGAAGCCCTCTGCCCCAGGGATGGAGCAGGGATGCTCACTGAAGCTGAAGGAGAGGAGAGCTCACCTGGGTCTCCGATGGCTCCTCCGCATTTGCTTCCTCCAAGTGCTGCAGCAGCTTCTCTTGGACATGGAGGACTCCCTTACAAGCTCCCAGTGCTGTCCCCAGAGTCTTGTACAGGAAAGCCTGATGGGAAGGGAAGGAAGAAGTTGAGATGTGGCAGCAGCCTGACCTGCTGGGAGAGGGCCAGGTGGGAAGGACCCACTTCCTAGGAGTCACTGAGAGCAGCTGCAGGGCCAAGCTTTAGCAGCCTCCGGGCAGACTGCAGGGAAAGGCCCTCTGGGGGGCACGGACCAGGGAAGCAGCATGAGCAGCCCACGTGGGCAGAGCACCAGCCACAGCTCCAGCCCCAGTAGGGCACCTGCAGCTGAACTGCTGGGTAGAGCCAGGGAGAACCCACCTTTTCTCCAGAGCTGCTGGGAGAACTGCTCAGCCACCGGCTCAGCTCGCAGCTCAGGGCCTCGATCCAGGCCTCATCACTGATGGTGTCCAGCGACGCCCTCAGGAACTGTTGGAGAACAGGAGAAGCCAAAGTTCCCTTGCCCTCTGCCTCTTCCCTCGCTCCCAAGTTGCTGCAGGCTTCTGGGGAGAGTGTCTGCAAGAACAGTCTCTCTCCCAGCTGCCCCAGCATTCCCTCCATTAAAGCCGCCTGCCTCTCTTCTCCTAAGGCCCCCCCCGGGCTTGGGACAGAGAGGAACAGGCAGCACCACAAAGGCGTACAGCTGCTCTGCTGCAGCATTTGAGAGGCTGTTCCTGTCCCGCAGTGGCTCATATGGGAGCAGGGCTCCTTGAGGCAGGCAAGCACTTCTCTGCACCGCGCCTCCCAGCACTGCTGTACCTTTAGCAGACGGCACTCCCACTCTGCAGGTTCTGGGAAGCTCTCATCTTTCCCTGCACAGCAATAGGAAGCAAAAGACCTTTACTTGGGGTCAGGTCACAAATGAAGAGCTGCTGCAAACTTGGCTTGGCCAGGGCAATCAACGCTGCCAAGCTGGGACCCACACTCTCTCCACAGTGTCCCTGTCCTCAAAAACTGTCCCCACAGGAATGCAGTACTAACTGCTCAGACTGCTGTCTGAGGGGACATGAAGGGCACATCCGTGTTCTGGAACAGGCAGATCCCTGGGGGGAAAGGTCCCTGGGCCTCAGCGCTGTCTCCCTGGAATGGGAACAGCAGCAGAGCAAGCACCGGGCTGCAGGAAACGCTTCCCCTCTGCCATGCTATAGAGCTGCATTTTCACTCCCCCCTCTTTCCCTGCCTTGGCCTCTCCCTCCCCACCAGCGCTTTTTACCTTGGAGACACTGCAACAGCAGGGGGATCTCAGCAGCCCACATGGCCCCCACAGCTCTGTGGAACCTCTTGTGGAGGTTTTGCATCAGCAGCAAGGCAGCGACTTGGAGTCTGCTGCCTGCAACAGGGTCCCAGACACCATCTCAGCGAAAGCAAGGAAAAGCAGGGTCACTTCTGCAGCAAGAGCAGAGGGAAGCAGCTTGGCTCTGCCCTGGCAGGCAAGGAGCAGCCAACAGCTTTGCCCATGGCCATGCTGCTTCCTCCAGGGGGGGCTCATGGCACTGGCCTCTGGAGCATCTACTCACCAACAGGCGTGCCAGCAGTGTCTGGGGAGTCAGCAGTGGGCCTGCAAGGAGAAAGAAGTGCTGAGTAAGACTCCAAGACACTCCATGCCCTGCCACAATCACCTCCTCTGTCCCTTCTGGGTGCTAACACAGGTCAGCAGAGCTCAATGGGGGAGTTTCTACTCCTACCTTGAAACACAGAGCTGACAAAATGAGGATCCAGATCTGCTATCTGTTGTCCTGTCAGGTCCTCTCTCTCAGCCAGGGCTTGGACACAACGGGAGACTGGAATAGCATGCCCGTGTACTGGGCTGGCACCACAAACAGCAACAGCTGAGGCCACAGGAGCTGTAGGGAATGAGGCAGTTGAGCATGACAGCATTCCTGCCTCTGCTCAAAGATAAACAGGACTCAGTGAGTTTCCCTGAGTCTTGTGTGCTTCAGAGCACGTTGGAGGAGGGACATGGGGTGTTGGAATGGGATGAGGAACACGTGATGTGAAGGCAAGGAGCATCAGGAGGGCCAAATGTGACTTACTTTGGACATCCCTCTCACAGAGACATCCAGTGACTCCAGGATGCCCATGCACAGCTCCTGGAAAGCTCCTTCTTCCTTGGCTTCCTGGGCAGAAAGGTCTCTGGCTGCCTGCACAACAGTGGTGTTGAAACACCGGTTACTCTCAGTTCTCAGGAGCCTCTCAGGAGGCTCACGTGTGGCCCCACCAGAGTTTCTGTGCCAGCCTCTGACAGCACGGGGTCTTCCAACAGAAGGTGCTGCCTACTGTCCTTACCCTTCTTCCCGTGGCGTGGCTGTAATCATTGAAGATGTGCCCCACCACATCCCAAGCTGAGCAGATCCTTGATGAAATACAGAACAGCCCTCCTCACCTGCAGGGGTCAATTGTGGGTGTGATTTTCCTGGTCAGAAGGCAAAGGGAAGCCACCTGCTCATCGGGGCAGCCCTTTGGGCATGAGCAGAGACAGCAAGAGCAGAGGTCCATGCACAGCACAGGGACCCGTCCTCTCCTCTCTGCCTGCTCTTCCCACAGGAGCCATAGTGACCCATTATGCCCCAGCAACCTCCCTGGTCACCCCTGCCTTGCCCGTGTCAGTAGGAGCATCACCACCCCAAAAGCACTTTCCTTTCCCAAAAGAGCTCACCTGGGTCCTGGAGTCATTGCACACACGCTGCACAGCCTCTGCAACCTGGGGCAGCATCTCTGTCATCACAGGCTCTGCAAGAGGTGCACAGAAACATGCATGGAGGCACAACCCAGATGGCAAAGGGATCCCTGGAAGTACCAACCCGTGGTACTTACCATCAGAGCAAACCAGAGCACTGAGCAGACCCAGGGCTGCCACACGTCCAGCCTCCCACTCATCGCCCAGCTGTGACTGCAGAAACAGGAGCGTTTCCTCTGGGCAGATTCGGGCTGCAGGAAGGAAATCCCACACTGTGTTAGCGAGCAACTCATGCCCACTTGTGAGGTTTGAGAGAGAGGTTTTGGCCAGGGCTCTGGCAAGCATAGGGCTCACAGATGTAAAACTTAGAATAGAAAACATGGTTTGTGAGTTTTCGTAGTCTTGTAGTACAAGAGGAGGAAAACTATGAAGTTGAAAACTAGTCTATTTGGAGCCAAGTGTTATCTTCTCATCAAAGAACAAGATAGACTGCAAGACTGGATGTTACTGAGGTCACACAGTGAGGGTCTCATAGAAAGTGCAATATTTTCCTGTCCTCAATTACTATTTCTGGATATTGATGCAATTCATTTAAAAAGTACTGAAAAACAGGCTGAAACACAAGGTTTAAACAAGCTAGGATGAATTCTCCATCACCCCAATTCTGTTGAAAATATGTTGGGGTTCAGGGTTTTTTTGTTCTGTTTTTTTTTCTCAGAAGCATGGGGAATCAGCAAGTTAGATGTGCACAATTGGGCTAAATGAACATAATGCAGTATGGCACGTTGCATGCTCCAGTGAGCTCAGCGTTTTCTTCGAAATAAAACTAGGTTTAGCCCACAGAGAGAGCATGTCAGTGATCAAACTATACTTGCCTTGAGGAAAAACAGGAGGAAGAATATCTAAGGTTTAATTCTATAAAACAAAGTTTCAAAGAGACTACTGAAGTGCACATAATTGCTCCAAACTCTTTCTTTCTGAAAGGTCAGTTCTTAGTTCCCTTCATGAGAGTGTAAGAAATACAAGTTACACAACTCGTGAGAAAGTCCTCTGTTTCTGTAGGAGGTCAGTTCTAGACAATGTAGGCTGTTGGGAATTTCATACAGGCAGAGACCCATTTCAGGTGTTACTGTACAACTGATAGGGCTCAAAACCTTGTTCCCAAGTGCAACAGCCCATGCAAATGTTGGATTAGATTCATGCTTACAGTTCGTCTTAGTGATTACATTTTATAACTTAAAATGTAATCTCCAGCTGTTAAGGCCTTAGAGAGGTACCAGTCCTCAATGGAAAGCTCTGTCACAATTCCACCCCAAATTCTTTACAGTCCTTTGCATTTACAAAGACTGTTTTTAATATTTTCTCTTTTCTTATGATGACACTACTCCCACTACTATATATGGAAATATAGAATCCAGCTTTTAGGGTAAGTTCATCTTTCAATAGCAGCCAAGTCACACTACTCCTGCTAATGTGGCAGGGCAGAAGATAACTTTTTTTTACATAACTGCCCTTTTCATTAGTAGTTTTATGATAACACTGAAAGACTATGTCCAGCTGGACATTGCACATACAGTAAAATACAGAAACAGAGAGTACTGTTACAATGATTTTCCAAGCAAAATGAAGATTTGCCCAACACCTACACAGGGGCTTTTAATCCAAATACTGAAAGTAAAAGTAGTAGTTGTGCTGCCAGCTGCGCTGAGATGTGTTCACTTCTTCACCTTGGCATAGCCCAATTCATTTTTGTGGCCCTCCTTGGGACACACTCCAACAGGCCCATGTGTGTCCTATACTGAGGACTCCCCATCTGCATGCAGTACTGCAGGGAGGCCTCAGCAGCACAGAGCAGAGGGGCGGGAAGAGGTGCAAAAGGAAACATTCAGATTACATAATTGCCTGTCCCAGCTAACAAACAGCAGAAGTTCTATAGACAATCAGTTCTGCAATGGCTACAACAATCTCAGCTCAGGAGATGCCTTCCCCTGCTTAATAGCCAGTAATTTCTGGAAAAGCATTTGCTTTCTCATTATATAGGTGAATGCTTCAAGCTTCCTCCATCTTAGTAGGAAACCAGCCTACACATAACTCTGTCCTACCTCATAAGCACAACAAGCACCAGTGCTGGAATATCAGCTGCAGACAGCCAGTGAGACCAGGAACTTACAGCAAGCCTTTAAGAGACATTTGCTCTTAAGAGGATTACTAAAAGTATCACTCTTAATCACACAGGGCATAAAAACCAAAGCTGGACACTCCTCCACTTGGCAACACCCAGGGCTTCAGTACTGCGCCGGTCAGCCAGGCTCTGTGCTGCTGTCCTGGCATGGACAATGCTGACTTCACAGTGCCAGTTTAAAACAAAGCCTTAGTGGTGCTTGATTCTGTATATACAAAAGCTAAGTGTGTTAAAAGGTAACAGGGCAGAGTGCTACCTCAGCAGCTTGTAACAGCAGTGGTACTGCTATGGGCTGCTAACCCCAACGTGTTCCAAGAGCTCGGCTGAAAGCCCTAAAAGCAGCGCAAGAGAAACAAACCTTCTATACTCTCTATACACCTGCAGTGCTATGCCTTGAAATGAGAGAGGACTGGCAAAGCCCGTGAAGCACATTGGAAGCATTGTGACATTGCTGCTTTCCTGCTGGGCTCGCTGAGCGACCACAAATGGCCGGCACTGCTGCGGCGCTGCTCCAGCGGGACTCGAGCTGCCGCAGGAGACGGCTGCACGCTGCGTCTGTCTGCCGTACAGCAGCTCATGCAAATGCAAAATAATTGGAAAGATCAGATGAGCTCTCTCTAAACAACTGAGTTTCCAGCGGTTGGGTTACTGCCAGCTGAACCAGCGGGATTTAAAGTAAACACGAGTTTCTGCACCAGTTGCAGAGTGCCAGATGCGCTGAGCCCACCGAGGGGGCAGTGCTGTGGATGAGCCCCTCACAGCACATGCAGCCAGCTGGGCGGGGGCCGCCGTGCTCATTTCCTCTGCCGAAGGGCTCTGCATTGCACACGGCAATCTTGGATTACCAAGGAGCATGGGCCACAGCTCAGCTGTTTCAAGTGCTGCCAAAGAAAAAAAAGGGACTTGGGCAAAGGCCAAGCTAGCCAAGCGCAGAATTGCCAAACCAAGGCTTTCAATAAATCAGTTCCCAGAAAGTCATGAGACTGGCAATTAAAAAAAAAAAAAAAATACACTCATGAGACTTTAGTAATAGTTTGGGGTTCTCTTTATTTCCTTTCTGTGCTCTTATTTCCTTTCTTTTCAAGCCTGGGAAAAGAACTTTTTGCTTGCTTCTTTTCTGATTCTCAATTCCTCTCTTACCATCCGATTTTGAAATGATGGAAAGAGGGCTTTGATTAAAATATTATAGAAATTATAATGTGGCGGCTTTGAGTACACCACTGTTCAGGTTCCAGATGTGATCTGCATGCTCCTAGGCAGGCAGAGAAAGGGTTCATTTTTTCTAATTCAGTTACACCACTGGAGACAAAACAAAACTGATAAGCTTATTCCAAACCAGACTTCTGCACAGTCCCAAATGTGCAGTGCCTTTTGGTAAGTCCATGCCTGCTTTGTGGGTTTTGTTTTTTTAATCTTTTACATACACTCCACACTCCCATTTTTATTCTATATATTCATTCGAAATCTCTCAATTTCCTTCTTCTGGATGCAAAAACAAGATGGAAACTTTTGCCTCCCTTCATTACTGCTCTGCTCAGCACTACGAGCAAGCTGCAGCCCAAGCTTGCCGTGCCCCCTGGCGGGCACACAGACCTCCTGCAAGCCTTCCTATGCTACCTTTGTACTTCCCTTTCCCTAACAACCTCACACCAAGTGCTTTCTTGTGCTTCTCAGTACAAGCTAACAGGCTGTCTTTTGAAGTAAGCGCGTTCCTTTCTAGCAGGCTCCTCGAGGATGTATTCTTCAGAGATAATTAAGACCAACATGCATAATCGTATATCACTCTCTGCACCTGGAAATGACAGGACAGCAATCAATATCCTCGCTTAATGGAGACATTTGCCTTACTCTTAGTTGCATGTGTTTTTACAAAACAGCTGTAAAGACTTCTGGGAAGAGAGTAAAATGTATTACAGATAGTTCGTAACAGCACAATGCAGAGAAGAGAGGTGGGCACCAACAGGCAACAAGAGTGAGTATCAGGCTTTAATTCATTTTCAACTCAAATTTTGTGCAGTCAGAAAATTGCTTTCTTGTCTAATTGAAGCCTCTAATTACTATCTAACTACAGTCTAGAATGCAGCACTGGTAGCAATGGAAATATTGCCAAGGCTGAAATTCAGTAGGAGAGGTCTGGTGGATTTTGATCCTCACATTCTGTCCTCCACTGCAAACTCAGCAGCTTCAGCTTCAGAGTGCTACTATATGTAAGAAAATTAGGAAGGAGTCAGACCAAAGAAATGTCCACTCAGTGACTGACCAAAGGCCCCTCAAGCCCACTATCTTGTCTTCAGCAGCTGTCAAAATCAGCACCAGGGAAAGAATGTGAGAGTGGAGCAAGCATTGACTTTCCCCATGTTCTTTTCCAGCTTCCAACTTGCCATGAAGGATTTCAGGCAGGCGCTAGGCGCAGTGCTTTCATACCTAACAGCCAGTGGTGGATTTCCCTTTCCTGAACTTGTACAGCTATATTTTGACCATGCTTTGAGATCCTGTATTGGCCATAAACCTGCCCATAATTCTGCGATGGCAAACTCTGCTTTGTTTTGAAAATTTCACATTGAGCTGGCTGTGCCTCGCTCGTCAACTTGTCATAGAAAAGAGGGGATGCTATGAAACGAAAGGATAACACGAAGTAAAAGAATTTCATAAATTCAAAAGAGAGAAGAGTTTCTGTTTAAAACTCATACATTTTTCTATTGAGAAGCACCAAGTCTCCAGACAACTACCCTGAATATCCTTTACTCAGATGAAAATTCTCACACAGATCTTGCAGCATGTCTGATAGAACTATGGCATTAGAACAAAGAATTACTGGCACTTGAGCAGAATTCTGCTGCAGTTAATTCACGTTTCTGTCATGAGACAGACCCACCTCCTCAGCTGTCCTATCTGAGTGGGTAATAGCGAGCTCTGCCTCATTCCCAGAGCTCCACCTCTTTGAATGACAAACCCCAAACATTTCTATCTGTTCCCAACTGTACATCAGGTGCTGTAGTGAAACAAGCAAAGACAAAGCAACTGAAAACAAAACGCTCTCCTGCCCTGTTGTACTGCAGTTATCAGATGCTCGGCAACAAAGGGGCAAAGTTCTCAAATCCAGATCACTCTTTATCTGCAGAACTTTTTGGCAGCCCCACATGGACTTTGATGGTACTCAGATAAACCTGCCCTTACAGAAGGGCCTACAAACCACTTTAATTCTCAAAATAAAAACAACCACGTCACAAACGTGTCTTCATACCACGTCTCTTGCAGATGAAAAACAGGAGTCACAGATGTCATCTTCAGTAACTTATGGAGATTATCTGATGATCATTTGTATACATGCAGAATGTTGTTGTCCTCTTGAACCCTGGAATTTTATGCCAGATAGGAGAAATTTGATACCATTGCTAAGCTGCATAAAACAACCCAGGATGAGACAGCTGCTCTCAGAATAAATCTTGTTTTGTAAGCTAGCTGGAAACAGCCCTTTCATCTTCTTTTTGTTTTTTGCTAGCTTATTTTTTGCATAGATAAACTCTAAGAACACTCTCCACATCTGGCTGCATGAATACCAAGAAGCAAAAGGGAGGGTGAGGCAAGCAGGAGCAGGACTGCACCATCTTCACCACAGATTCCTATGAACTTCCATTGCACTACACCCCAAAACCTCAGTTATAAAGCTGAGGACAGAAGATAGTATGAACACCTGGGCATTATCTAGTAGAAATTGTTTGCCATCTAGTGGTTTGTTGGCCCACTACAAATAGAAGCTTAAAAATAACGATTTGGAGAACATAACTGTAAAAAATATATGTTTCCCAGTATACCGGAACCTATACAAATATAGGAAAGATGAAGCCTGTATAGCAAAATGTTTATCATTACAATGAACATGTCAAGGAGACAAGCAGCAAAGTTTTCACACAATCAATGTGTTCAGAAGGATGCTTGATATACACACAGTATTAAGTATTTTTGTCTCTTTTATTTCAATCTGCTGGTTTTCATCCAGGTATCCTGATTGAATTGCTCTGCCTTTTACTCAAACTTGCCTCCCACAAAAGCATACATTATATAGAAAATGCAAAGAAACTACGTAGGAGGTCTCTGTGTTTGGGGCTGGGAGATGTCAGGGAACAGCAAGAGATGGTAGCTCTGCAAGGGAATGTGTCTGGGAGCCAAGTGGAGCAACCAGGCAGGGGAAAGCAGTCACCTCACCAACGAGCCAGGGAGCAGAGCAGCAAGCCAGAGTCAAAACTGGTTTACAAGATAGTGGTCAGGGTCAGCAGCAGTTAGTTGTTCACTCAGCAAGGCCACAGTGACAAGGCACATCCAAGGCCACATCAGGATACCAAGTCAGTGAGTCTGGGTCAAGGCCAGACAGGCCCATGGAGACTTGAGACAATGCAAATACAGCTGCTACACGGCTGCACTGTGCCGCAGGCAAGGGCCAGCATAAAGCCTCTGCTTCAAAGAGGCTTCCAGAAGGACGGAGAGACAGCACCTCACTTCTAGGTTTTTCTGCAACAGCTGTAATCAGTGAAGGTTCTGACTTTGAACACTGCCAATTGAACATTTACAAAGGGGTGACGTGCTCAGGACCATGGTCATCTGAGGGCAATGACAGAGCTGGGGCACACGCTGAACATGGAGGTAAAGCTGATTAATGGAAATGGCCTTCTTCATGAAAGCACTGTATGGATGTAGGTCCCACATCGAAGGAACTGATACAAAGCTCAGAGCTTGCTGTGTTCAGTTGAGAAAAGCAAGAACTCATCCTGTTTATTAACAGAGTTTTTTAATAAGAAGCAACAAGGGACATGGGGCTCATAAAATGATCACACAGTGATTTGGGGCTACTAGTTTGATGTGTACACAGAAATAACCAGATAAAATCCTAGGACGTATGATGGCCATGCACTTCCATTAGAGACACTGTACAAGCCAATGTAGAATCTAACTAGCTGCCCAAGTTTAACATGGGTGAATTCAAAATAGCACATGCAGAAATGACTTGGTGGGAGAATCAGGAGAATTACGTAAGAGTTTCATGTCTTGTGAAATCAGATGAATAAAACAGAGGCTAAAATAAAAGGGCTGGAGGGGACACAACAAACAGTGAGTGAACAACAGAAAGGTCAAGAACCATTTAAACTCATGGGCAGCACTGGGCAAGAAAAGATTGATATATATTATCCTAAACTAAAAATTACATTAATTACATTAAAAATGAATGTTTTGAAAATTAATACATAATTAGACTTCATGCTCTTCCAAGGAGTGAAAGTGATCTTTTTTTTCAGTGGGGTTAATACCAGCCAAAAAAATAAAAATAAAAAATTAAGAAGCAGATAAATACTTTTATGTTGAATTTCTTGAGTTGTATGTGACAGCAGAGGTTTAGACTGGAAGGTCCAGAGGATTTCTTTCAGATTTATTTCCTGCATAAACCATTAATTTACAAAAAGCAGCCTCTGGATAAAGTCAGACTAGATTATCTGATGCACTCTCTTGACCTTGCAAAACTAGAAATCCACACAAAGCTGAAGTTATCTATATGCTGCCTCACGTATGTGCATGTACGATCCTATGCTGTCTGAACAGTGCTGAAATAAAACACATTCTTTGCAGCTTCTTCTTCCAGTGTTTCAAAAGAGAAACAGAGCTTACAAAGGTGAGGGAATAGCAGCATACCTGATGAGAATCTGGCCCTCTGGTTTTTTAGACACTACTTTTCAGTATGTTCCAGAATACTGATTGCATTTATGCAAATATGGAATCATAGAGTCATTTGAGTTGGAAGGAACTCTTAAAGGCCATCCAGTCCAACCACCAGCAATGAGCAGGGACACCTACAGCTCCATCGGGTGCTCAGAGCCCCGTCCAGCCTGAGCTGGAGTGTCTCCAGGGATGGGGCACCCACCACCTCTCTGGGCAACCTGTGACAGTGCTTCTTCCTCATATCCAGTCTAAATGTCCCCTCTTTGAGTCTGAACCCATTTCCTCTTGTCCCGTCACCACAGTCTCTGTTGAAGAGGCTATCCCCTCCTTTCTTAACCCCCTCTCCCCCCAAATTTAGGTTCTGGTCAAAACGTGCAGCCCAACATGTGCACAGCAGAACGCCAACTTAAGGCCACATGTGGTCTGTAATATCAAGGAAATATCAACGTTTCCATACTGATATTTGAGCTCTCCTCCTGACAGATCCCCTGAGGGCACCGCTGCCCGTCTGCTGATGCCTGTATCTTAGAAGTTCGTCTTCTCTCAGAAGAAATAGCAACGAGGACCCGGGGAGTCAAGAAGTCCCTTATAGAGCAAACCAGGGAGGGGACCAGTTCAGGTCAAGCTCCACGGGAGAACCTGCCGGGAGAACCCGGGCTCGGATTTGGAAGCTGAGATCTGTCACTGCCTGCGGCGAGCCTGGAGGGAACGAGGCGGGAAGGCCGGCCCTCGACACGAGCCGCCCTACGCCTCTCCCGTACCGCCGGCAGCTACTCGGCGCTACGCTGCGCACTTTGCGTACTGCCGCTCCTCCCGACTCGCAGTCCCCGCTCGACGCAGCCAGAAGGGGGCGGGAAGTGCCTTACGTGGATGGCGTAGACCGCTACGAAAGTCGCCGCAGCCCGCGCCGGAGGCGTAAGCGCCGAGACTTTGCCCCCACTCCTCCCGCCGCCGGCGCCGAGGCCTCGCGTTGCCCGCCCGCCGCCATGGCCGCTCCGGCACCGGCCCGCCTGCTGTTCCGGGCCGCCGCCGCTCCCTCCCGCCGCTGGTTCCTCTCCGCTTTGCCGGCAGTGGGGACAGGGCCGAGCTGCAGCGCCGCGGCCGTGAGAGCGTTGCGACCGCTCAGCCTCTCGGCCCGGACGGCGCGCAGGTAAGCGGCTCGGCTCCGCTCGGCGGACTCCTCGGGGGGCGGCCGCGCACGGCGCAGAGCTGCGGGGCGCCCGGGGTCGAGGGGCGGTCGCGCCGGGCGGCGCTGCGTGACCTTCCCGCCGTGCCCTCGCCGTTTCCCGGCCTCGTCGGCTCCGTGTCGGCCCCGAGGCGCTGCCGCCGCTCCTTCCCGGCGTTCGGCCGGGCTCTGCGTTGTGGGTGGTCCTGTTGGGCCCGGTGGCTGGGGGGAGCCCGGGGCTCGGCCCTGGAGGTGTTCAAGGCCAGATTGGAGGGAGCCCGGGGCAGCCTGGGCTGGTATCAAATGGGGAGGTTGGTGGCCCTGTATTGTGGCGGGGGGTTTGGAGATTCATGATCCTTGAAGTCCCTTCCAACCCAGGCCATTCTTTGGTTCTGTGTTTCTGGGACTGCTGGGTGGCTCTCATCACGGTGGTTGGAATCAATCCCAAGTTGGAAGGGACCTGTAAGAATCATCGAGTCCAACTCCTCTGGAATTACAGAACTTGTTTCAGTAGTTCGCTTTTAAGCTCTCCTCTAGGTGCTCTTATTTTGTTCCAGCAAATGTTCTTAGTACAGAATGCAAGGAACTTTTTAATCCAGGTCTCCTGTATGCCTGCTTAGATCTCTTCTCTGAGTGACCCAGCCCACGGCCCTAAAATAAGTCTCCAGTGACTTGCCCAGGCTATCAGTTATTTTGAGGTCAAAACATAAAAAGGTCTTTTAAAGCATTGCCAAGACTTCAAAAATCAAAGTTGCTGCACTAGTTACAAATGGGAGGAGATGGATCACTTAACAGTTCTCTGCTGCTGTTCAGTTCATTTGCTGTATGCTTAATTTGGGGTACCCTAGTGACATTTGATAATAATGTTGATAGTACTGTGGCAATCATATGAAGGAATGAATTTTAGTAGCAGATAGCTTTAAAAAAGAAGTTAATCTAAGCATGGATTGGGATATTTATGCTTTATGTAAATCACATGAAATATGTTTGGTTCTTTCCGGGAATCCTGAGGCTATTTATGCTTGCGTAAGATCTGGCATCTATTTCATGTTAATCTTCCACGTGCAGTTCACGAAGTGGTGGGGGTTTTGTTGCTCTTGTTGTTTTTGTTCTTGCTTTTTTTTTTCTCCATGTAGACAAAAGCCACGTTGCTTGAAATTCATAAACCCTAAGCACTGTTCCACGTATGTCTGATTTTTCTTTCAGTGGAATCTCTCAGTTGAAAAGATTTGCACAGTGTGCATTCTGACCCTCTGACTAGTGATGTACTTGTGCTCCTGGAAGCATTTTCACAGTCAGGCTCGTGTACTATAACGCTGCAGTGATCTGTAAATTGAATTTTTTGTCTGTGTCAGGGGGACTTAAGATGGCAATCGCAGGAATCACAGAATGGCCCAGGTTGGAAGGGACCTCAAGGATCATGAAGCTCCAAGCCCCCTGCCACGGGTAGAGCCACCAACCTCTACAATTAATACTAGATTAGATTGCTCAGGGCCCCGTCCAACCTGGCCTTGAATGCCTCCAGGGACGGGGCATCCACAGCTTCTCTGGGCAGCCTGTTCTAGCACCAGGAAGACAGATCCTACTGGAAGACCAAAGTGTCTTAAACTTTGTTACAAATAAATCTCAGTTTCGGTGATCAACCAGGTGGATTAATTCTCATAGGAAGGATTAATTTTGTAATGTCCTTTAACAAAAGCTGATGATGATTAAAGGCGGTGCTTCACTTGGGCATGTCCAGCCCTAGCGCTGCCCCATAGCTGGCTAAAGCCAGTGTAAGATGGTGGCTGCAGAAAGAGGGGTGCTATTCCTGTCGTCTTGTTTTAATCAGATGTGTCATGTAACAGGTAGATCTGACTGTACCAGTTCTGCTGTTCATATGGCCGCAGGCTTCCAAGATTGGTTTTCAGCCCATTCTGTTTCTGGCCCAGTTCACTGCAGAGCACTGCGAGTGCTGGAGGAGGAGGGAACAAAGGAGGGATGGGAAAGCCGTTGATTATCTGACACTGCTGTTATTGCAGTCTGAAGTGTGATCACAAGGAAGATAGCCCTATGCGTGTTGTGAAAACCACCTAGGGAGGATCTCTTAAGGAGCCTCTTAGGAAGGTTCCTGTCATCTCACAGGATTGTAGACAGACATCTTGGTATTTGGACTGTGTTACTGATGATTGCCTTCTTTTGTAGGGGAAGAAAGGATGTGCTTTAGATATTGAACAAATATTTAGCACTTACATGGGCATAGATGTCTATGCATGCAACTGCATCCCTGTCTCCTGCTAGCATCATGTTTGTCATATTGACAGAAATGTTTTGGTAAATGAGTGTTTCGGTGAGCTCTGGAAGGACTTCTTGAAGAACCTAAAGTGAAAAAAATAAATAAAACCAATTAAAAAAACAAAACAAAAACATTGTTGGTGGTTTACTTTAGCTGTCAGAATTGGAATCTATACTTTTGTGGATGCAATCTAAACCTGTCAGTGAAGTTGACTTTGGTGAAGGCAGTGAATTTTGCACTTGTGTGTCTGGGAGAAGGATGCTGGTTTCCTCTCCTTGCTGTGGGAAGTAGTAATGCTGAGCAGGGGAGTGGAAAGAACACAGTGGTAACTTAAACCTTTGCAGAATGGCTTGCTGGAAGTGCTGCCCTGATACCACAGGTGGCTGCAGAACACAAATTGTATGATGTGAAGATGCATCTTCTAAGATTTCTGAATTTCATTATAGTGTGAGCTTCATTTGAATCATGTGGGCCCAGAGGGTTGATCCTTCCTTATTGATTATTATTTTGGAATGAATTTATGATTAATAGTCACCTGCAGTTGCCTTCCGAAGTAGGCTGAGGGGTGATAGAACAGGAGTTGGACACCACATCATGATGTGATAGCAGGTACTGCTGCCAACTGAGCTTATGGCTGGTAGTGTAGAGCAGTGAGCATGTCTGTTTTCCAAAATGAGCTTCAACTTTAATTGCTAGAACTGCATTTTCTTTCCTAGCCAGTTCCAAGGATGGTTGACTTGCTGATGTTTCAGTAAGGCCACTTTTAATTTTTTAATATTCAGCCCTATAAGTTAGCTTCCTAGGAGGTGGCTTGGTTTTTCAGGCTTGTATGTGTTCTGTGTTGTAGATCACCTAAAGCCTGCAGTTATTACAAAGAGCATGTGTAATATGGACTGAGCAGTTCTTAAACATGGATTTCATGATGAGGTATAGATGTTGCATTAGCTTTCAGTCTTTTATTTGTATCTCTCAGCATGTTTCTTCCCTGTTTCTCTAAGGAGTTTTTCTTGTGTTACTCACCCTGAGAAAGAGCATAGTCAATTGTAATGAACTGTATTTTATTTGCTATTATATTAATGACTTTCCTTTAATTTGCATGTAAAAGGAAATCATATGGAATGCACACAAAAAAACCCTGTTTTTCCATATCAAAAGCATTAGTCTTAAGAAAAATAATTCCCTTACATTCTGCATAAAAATTTAAGTATACACAAGTGCCTGAAAAGCAAAGCAGGACACTTTTCTTTGGTGTCTGTGTTGAGATTTTGATGCACTTCACTAGAATAAATATTTACAAGGTGAAATTCTAAGAGAACCTGCAGTCAAAAAAGACAAATACATTTGGACTATTTCTGCTATTGAAAGGAGAACAGAATTAGATTTTAGAGGTAATAAAATGCCTTAAGTTCTAACCATACATGGGAAAATTCTGAACTCGTTAATTCTTTTTAGTGTTATCTACTAGATCATTTTGTAAATGCAAAGTGTGAGTTCACAGAGAAGTGCAAAGCACTTAAAGTCAGCTCTTTTATTTGTCAAAAATACAAATAGTCTGCCTAAAAGAAAGCTTTGAATCCCTTTGGCAAAAGGTGAAGCATCAGGATTCTGTATGGCTTCTAGTGACAAAACGTAAGTGAAGGGGTTTTTGGTGTTGTTTTTCATGTCTTTGTGTTTAATGTCACCAGTAAATGCCTGCACCTGTTACAGCTTTGAAAAGTGTTGTAGCAGTATTCGATCATATTTAAAGGTCTAGAAAATAATGCATTTGCTTCTTTGGTTTTATTTTGCCCTTTTTCAGCTCAGAAGATAAAATAACTGTTCATTTCATCAACCGCGATGGTGACAAGCTAACAGCCAAAGGAAAACCTGGAGATTCATTGCTGGATGTTGTTGTTGATAATAATCTAGACATAGATGGTTTTGGTAAGTGGATTCCTTAAATACTACACTCAGTGTCTGGAAATTAGGATCTCATACCAGTTTGCTCATAAATATTTATGAATGTATTTGTAAAACCTAGGTGTGGAAAAGAGTCCAAATAAAATTCTTTTGTTTTTTTCTCCCCCTGCGGGTGCATAGAACATTTTGGATCTAGTTCTTAAAAGTTGGTGTGAGCCTTGCTTGAAGGAATTAAAGGAGGATAATGGTGACAGAATGGTGTCAGGGAGGAATCTGAAAAATAATAGAATGGTTTAGCTTGGAACAGACCTTGAAGACGCTCCAGTTCCACCCTCTGCCATGGGCAAGGGCATCTCTCACTAGACCAGATTGCCCAAAGCCCCATCCAGCCTGGCCTTGGAACACTTCCAGGGATGGAACAGCCATCACATCTCTGGGCAGCCTGCTCCAGTATCTTACTGCCATCTGT